ATGCGTTTTTGCTGGTTATAGCAGCGCTGTAGCGATACTATAGCTCTGCACAACAAAAAAGCATAAAAAACGACCGTTAAATGGAAATTGTTTATTTCCGTTTTTTGCAAAATTTACGGCGATTTGCAGTATTGAGTGCACAAGGTAGCTGTGAAGGAACAACCGTTAATGCAGTTAGCCTAATTAGTTCAAGTCTGTGTGAAAACGCATAATCGCACGGGCTCCCCTGGTGCGTTCCAGCTTAGGTTTTTTAAACGGTCATTAATGAAATTTTAACAATTAAATGTTGTTGTTTGCCAAGGCGCCAGTAATTTCAGGGTCTCGTTCGTTCCAACACCAGCAATGAAGTTTGCCGGTAGACTGAAGAAAATGCGCCAAAAAGTAAGTCCACGCAGAGAAATTGCCTTAACAAAATATTGCCAGTCTGCTATAAGCCGCTGGCAATAAACACGTTCGTTCTTGTGTAGATTTTTTGGCAGCTGTAAATTGAGAGCAGCAGGGATGAATTTTGATACAGCGAGGGGGTCTAATTAACGAGTGAACAGCCTCAAGGACATCAAAAAAGGAAAGCGTCTTTAACGATTTTAGACCCTCAAGGATGCTTTGTTCTGAAAGGCTCTGAATTTTAAAACAAAGCCAACTTTTGTGATTAACAGGAACCAAATGCTGTTCTGCAAAAGCATATTGACCCAGTGATCTTTCTGAACTTTAACATTTTGAAAACGCAGCATTGTGTAGTCTTTGTTGACTGTGTCACTCCGACTCTATGTCCTAAATCGTAAGTTTTTCTGAAACTCAGCTGCTACAATATTACCTTTTCAAATTGTCCTGCTTTTAATTAACAGAAGTAATTTTTGCAGTTGAGTATTTGTACTTATAATCTTGAAATCGTCATAGGTAATTGATTATTTTTCTTTTAAAAGCTAAATTTGACTTCTCGTCTACAACTAAGGCAAATATTATCGTTCAGCGAGCGCGTCAAATGTGCGCCGTAGCAAAGCAAAACGAACGTGTTCCTTCGTAATTACGGCATTCATGTACTGATAGCTTGCAGCAGCTTGTCGCAAAAACTCATAGCCATGCCGGCCTGACGGCCCTTCTCGCTATTTTTTTTGTTTGGGTCGTGTAATTTTAAATCAAATGCAGCGCTTAAATCAATTTTATATCAAATGTGTAACTGACAAATTTTAAACTAATTTTAAGTCAAATGTATAAATAATGCCTGGCACTAGCAGGTACTGCCGCATGTGAGGACAGAGCATGACGTAATCAGGCCACGTTTTGTAAGGAGTGCAACGTCTGCGCAGCCAACATTATCAACTGCATTGGCTAAAAATCTCAGCGATCTTACCGAAGTTCATTTACTGCCACTGGAGGTGCAAATTGAAAAGTTCGTTTTCGTTTCCATTCGCGTGAAACTAGCAGTTCAAATACTTTGAGGCTCGATACATTTCACGCATGGAACGGGTTTTTTTAACCGCTGTAACACGCTTTGATTTTGCAAAGACCGGGAATAGACACTAGTTAATTCAAATTGTTCTATTGATATAGGATGATTTGTTAACTGTGAAACAAACCCACACCAGGACTGCTATTGCTATCACGCGTTTTTGCGCTAAATTTGCAGGTCGCTGATAACAGGAGTGGGTCCTGTGCTGCAATTTAACACAAGGACTTACATTAGCTGTGCTTTGACCTCTTCCCGCATGCAAGGGAAAATGGCGTCAGCTGGGGTTATGTTGAATAGTGGACCGCATGGTCCTCAGCGTGCACGATTATCATTTTTTTGCACAAAGATCGGTCGTTTTTCCGGTTCATTGAAAGAATGCAAATTTGAAGGAAGCTGAAAGAGGATTATGAAATCTACAAAAAACAGTCGCTTTGAGTTTGCGATAAAATTGAGTATTTGTCATGTCTGCGTGCGGGAAATTTCATCTTCAAACTGAATTAAAATCACGCGTGAATGTAGAATATCCTTGCAAACTTTTAGCTTTGTAGTTTGCCTAGTAAGCGGAATAGCCACTTCACTGCGAATATTTTTTAAGCGCACTCATAGCGCAAGTTCAAATCGAAACTCAGCTTAGGTATACGATTTCACATATTAACGATAAATACTCTGACAAAATTTCAGCTATTGCTTTTCGGCATAAGTGTGTGCGATAGCTGAATTTGAAATCTTTAGCTTATGCATGCAGGAGGAATATTTCTGCAAAGTTTCAGCCTTCTGTCTTTTCTGGACTACAAAATCATTTTGCGCAAATGAAATGTGCATATTTTTTCAGGACTTCGTACGTGACATCTGTGCGCGTACGAGTGAAAATTTTGAAACACGAAGATGACAAATGGGTGGGAATATAACCCAGAGTTACAGCCTCTCAGCTTTCCTAGTTGTTGAGTTAAAAACGGGTAACAAGGTTCACTCGCTTCCGAATGCACACAAACATACACACGCACACACGACTTCTCGACAGTTTGCGCTTTTGCTCACTGTAGCAGCTCTACATACAGCAAAAACGCTTAAAAAGTGTGTGAAAGGAGTAACTGAAATAAGAATGATAATTCTGAACAGGGATATTTCAGTTCATTAAGCAGCATGCATTCTTATTTGGTATATTTTCTAGCCTACCTTAAGTCCGTAACACAAGAAAATTCTTTTATGCTCTGACTAAATGCCAACTTTATTATGCCACTAAACCTTCCAGTTTTCATCAAAATTAATGAGATCAAAACTGGTTTTTGCTTCAAAGAGTAAGCGCGATCGTTTTGATGTTCAGAAATTCTTGCTCTGTAGTGTATGTGCACTTAACTTGATCTGTACCCATTGAAAAAACACATCTATGCAGTGAAGGATTGGCATACACACGTAGTGAGCATGACGAATAACCACTGACTTCTGGTAACTCTGGAAGAAATTGTTTGTCTTAACCGCACTTCGGTGTTCCACTACATCTCAGTAGCATTGATGACGTCGGTCTGCATATTTTTTATTGACAGAACTCCAAAGTTCACACTTGATCCCCACGCGATTAGAAGTATTGAAGAAGATGATGAAGGCACCGAGCTGATTGTTGGTGATGGTAATGAAAACAATGACAACGACAATAAAAGAGATTTTCAGATCAGGTGCTTTTAAAATCTTCGAAGATACACACAGGAAATCTTGCGAGATCTCACTGAGGAGCCCTTACTACCATCAAAGTATGAGCATAGATATACACGCTTCCATCCAGATAAGCACTATCTGCACGGCTCCATTCGTTTGCTTCAAGCTGTCATTGACCCGTACCACTTAGAATTTTGTTCTGGACTTCCGCGCGAAATCTTTGCTTTTATTGGCTGGACTGACACTTTACTGTGTTTCAACAGTACGCGAAATGTTGCATTTTCGGTTAGGCCAGACGGACTTCCATTCAAAACTATGTGTTCCTTTATAACTGCAAATTCTTCGTGGGAACAGCCGCTGCTTTTGCAGCCAAGCAGACGACGAACTGAAGAGGAAACGAAGTCGCTTGTCGAAGCAGCCACGTCGTTATCAAAGTGAGGATATTTGTTTGGATGTAGATAGCCAACAGGATCCAGGAAGCAGCAAGTGATTTTGACCACCGCTTTGATTTGCATATTTGAAAAACAGCTGATTATATGAAAGACTTTTAAGAATAAAGCCGAAATTGTTTCCACTTAGAAATAGACCTGGGTTATTGCCGGCCTTTCCCATACCTTCATCTTGCTCGCATACTGTCTATTTTTTATGCGTTTTTGCCGTGCAGCGCTAGAGCGCTGCAAAAGGCAGCGAAAACGCATATTGCAA